TCATTCTGCAGTTCAAAAATCGGCGTCTAACCTAGTAAAAAAACAAACAATCATAAACAAGTCGGGCACTCCAATGTCAAGTTTGAACTTGACTCCTCATCCTTCGCACCCGAGGTGCTTGAAAACATACGTTTTGACCGGAATGAAGAACTCTAGATCTGAAAATGGAGATTTTTAGTCGTGAAAACTGTTGTAGTTCTTTTAATTATGCATGCTGGTTCTGCTTTGCTTATGAGAACTTTTCTTTGACAACTTTGATTATGACATTAATTTTCACTTCTGCCTCCTTATTCGAGTTTTAATGGAGTTATTTTTTGCTTTTTTAGAGTTTCGTTATTGACACCTCCAACAGAACCCAATTTCCTGAAAGAAAGCGAGGCTGAAAGGCGGAGCAAAGCGAAACGCCAGCGAGATTCTCGCAGGTACCTAGTTTTCCAAAAAGATTTTGCGGTGGACGACATCCTGACCAGTTTAATTTTGACCCATTGTGTTTAAGGTCAACTCAGGGAGTAACCAAAGAGCAGATAAAGGCAGCATCTTTAGCCTCAATTCATCGGGATGAAAAAGAAAATAATGTTGTTTGGAATGGGCCGGGACTGCGAAGGGAAATGTCAAAAGAGTCATCGTCCTCAAGAGTCAGATTTTTGAGAAAATTGTCTGTAGACTGCTTAGGAAGCGTTGATTTTTTTCGTAACTTGTATCAAAAGCTAAAAGTTTTAGGACTCTAATTCGCCTGAGAAAGCCGTTGTCAACGAAAATGAAAGTGCATTATCTTCAAAAGTGGGAGGTAGTGAAGCAAACGTGAATTCTAACGCTTCAATTTCTAACGTTCGCCGTCGTTCACAAGTTAGTACATTATTAGAGGTGCTTTATAGTAGTTTTTACTGCTTAAACCTCTCCTTCTTTTGAACGAGAAAGAAGGACTACAAAATAAGGTTTTTTCGTGTAAAGATAATCATCAACAGGCAGAACTGGAGGAAGATGAAAGCTGTAGTAGATTCTGGGTCTTGCTCTTTGGAGACTAATTAAAAGTAGGCTGTAATGAAAAATATGGTATTCCTCCCTAAAGCACATTCGTTTGGGAGGATATGTTAGTCGAACAACAGCTAAACAGAAATGTTGAATTGTAAAGGCCTTCATCGCTGAAAATTTTTTTGGATGCCTTTGGTTAATTTAGCTGCCGCCTCATTTTAGGCCCCTCGGAATGCGCGGAGAGGGACTGGCCCAGTCTCAATAGAAGATGTTCAATCAGCTTTTTCGGCTGTGGGTGCGAATCAGAAAAGTTCCCCTGATTCTTCCGTTTCTTCCCCTGCTAGTACGGCAGCCTATACCACTGCTGTTACTGCCAGTACATCAACTGCTCCATCGAGTTCTGTGACGCGCGTTGTTGTATCATTACGTGACCGTCCTTCGCCCACTCCTCAGGTTTGTAAATTTTTTGGAGGTTCTAATCAAGGTTCAGATTTTTTGGTATTTTAGACTCGCAATGAGCATGTACTGGCAGAATCTCACGTAAAATGCTTTGCCATTTGCCACTCTTTGTCAGTCTATGTTATATTTTAGGTCGCAATAACGCACACAACTCCTCCGATGCGAATTAGTAGTGTACCTTACCGTACAAGTAGTATGACGAATACTTTTCAGAAACCTGCTTATATCACTCAAAAGGAGATTGATTATAAAATTCTATACGAGAAGGAACGAATGGAAAATGAAAGGCTAAAAATGAAAATCGATGAGCTTACAAATATTGAAGTACGGTTTTTTAATCATGTTTGTTTGATTCAGAGTAATTTGGCCTTCCTTTTCTAAAATTAATTAAAACTTCAGAAGGCTAATAATCTGAATGGATCATCTTCGCTGTTCCGGCGCGGCATAAGTAGAATCAG